TGTGGTGGCTGCATTAGTTTTCTTTTTTTTTGGTTCCCCCCCCCCCCCTCTGTTTTTACCTGGTGATCTGGTCAGTAACACCTCCTGTATTAGAGTGCCCCCACTCTGAAGGAAAGAGTACAGGGGGGCACAACAGACATCAGCAGCATTGTCAGTCTGAGGGGATGGGAGTTATAGATGGACTGGCCAATTTAAATACACTAATACATTATAAGTCAACTCCATCTAAAACTTTATAAGCAGTTATAAAAAACAAAAAAAAACATGTTTGCTGTTTTAGGATAAATGTTTTACATGAATAAATAAAAAATAAGCTGATCATTGTAAGCACCCCTATCCCCTATAAGTGGTAAATGGTTTGTCTCATCCCTGTAAGTGCAAATGAAGTTGTGCTTTTGAAAAACAACAGACATAATAGCTGGAACATCAGATGAAAATAAAAAGAAAGGAAGTCTAAAAAAAAAAAAAAAAAAAAAAGGAAAAGAAGAAATGGGAGCAGGCCTACATGAATGCCCCCATAGGAAGAGACCTCCTATGGGGGCACTGGTCAAAGAGGAGGAGCCAGAAGCGCCAGTGGGGGATTCCAGAAGATGAGGATTAGGGCTGCTCTACGGGATTGAGTATAGCAGGTAAGTATACCATGTTTAATGTTACAAAAAAATAAAATTAAAAGGTTTAGAATCATTCTAAGATTGTGTGTGTATGTATATATATATATATATATATATATACACACATATACATATACACACACATTTTTTTTTTCCCCCAGCAGGCCAAAATACACTATACAATCATTGGATTCAGGTGTTCCAATCACCTCCATGGCCACAACTGTATGAAATCGAGCACCTAGGCATGCAGACTGCTTCTACAAACATTTGTGAAAGAATGGGTCGCTCTCAGGAGCTCAGTGAATCAAGCGTGGTACCGTGATAGGTTGTCACCTGTGCAATAAGTCCATCCATGACATTTCCTTGTTACTAAATATTCCACGGTCAACTGTTAGTGGTATTATAACAAAGTGGAAGCAACTGGGAACAGCAACTCAGCCATGAAGTGGTAGGCCACGTAAAATGACAGAGCGGGGTCAGCGAATGCTGAAGCACACAGGGCGCAGAAGTTGCCAACTGTCTGCAAAGTCAATAGCTAAAGAACTCCAAACTTTGTGCGGCCTTCAGATTAGCACAACAACAGTGCATATAGAGCTTCATGGAATGGGTTTCCGTGGCCGAGCAGCTGGGGGAAGGGGGGGGGGAATTATGGTGTGGGGTCGTTTTTCAGGGGTTGGACTTGGCCCCTTAGTTCTGGTATCTTACAAGACATTTTGGACAATTTCATGCTCCCAACTTTGTGGGAACAGTTTGGAGATGGCCCCTTCCTGTTCCAACATGACTGCCCACCAGTGCACAAAGCAAGGTCCATAAAGACATTGATGAGTGAGTTTAGGGTGGAGGAACTTGACTGGCCTGCACATAGTCCTGACCTCAACCTGACAGAACACCTTTGGGATGAATTAGAGCGGAGACTGTGAGCCAGGCCTTCTCGTCCAACATCAGTGCCTGACCTCACAAATGTGCTTCTGGAAGAATGGTCAAACATTCCCATAGACACCCTCCTAAACCTTGTGGACGGCCTTCCCGGAAGAGATGAAGCTGTTATAGCTGCAAAGAGTGGGCCAACTCAATGTTGAACCCTACGGACTGAGACTGGGATGTCATTAAAGTTCATGTGCGTGTAAAGACAGGACTCCCAATACTTTTGGCAATATAGTGTACATTTAAGAGATAACAGAAGAACTGAATGCAGTTTGTGAATCTTACTGGAAAAATGGAGATCTGGTTATATAAGGGGTAGTTAGAGCCAACCATGAGAATTATGGGTAATACAATTTGAATATAGGCATGTGTATGCCATACCAGAACTCAATTGAAAAAAAAAAGGATTTTAGATTGCTACTAGAGTATTCTCTTATGTAAGCTAACAAATAAAAAAACAACACAAAGCTGAAACAGAACAATAGGCTGAAATGAGCTGAAAGAGGACAAATGACAGAACTGCCAACGAAAAACAAAACCTATTTCTAGATGTAGTTTTCCCTTTTGTCTGTCTTCTGCAATGCTTACTCTGGGCCAAAATGATCGGAACATTGTGTAAAAGTCACATCTACTAATAGCAGAGTTGGTTTAGCTCTCCCAATATACTAAATAGCGTTTTTGTTTTTTTTAGAAGAGACTTTGTATATCCCTCCTGCCAAAGCACACCTTTGCCTTCTGCCTGGCACATGTGCAATCTTGCCATCAAGGGGCTGACAGTGGAAGCCGGCTACCAAGAAAAACTTCCATATGGAAGGGTCACATGATAACTGGCCACCCAACGTCCGAAGAAACAACAGGGAAGATGGGAAGGACTATGGATCTATAGACCTATCTGCACTGGGAGAGGGCAAAACAGAAGCAAGTTTGCCACAATGTGCAAGTACAAACCAATCTCAAGTTCTGCTTTAGAGCCAAGTTCACATGAAAGACAAGGCAAAAAGCCTCATCCTCTATCATGCCGGAATGCAGTACGTTTTTCAGTGCAGTGTGGTGCAATGCAATCCTTCATATCACACCATGCTATGGCCAATAGAACCTAACTTTGTGACATTTCAATTAGAGATGCACTGGTGCCAATTCTCATAAAAACACTACCGATACCTTAATTGATACTTTGCGATTTGCGTTAATGGGCGCAAATTGCACCGCAAAGATTAGCATGCAATTTGAACAGGAATGCGATTCTTCTCCAAATTGCATGCATTTTCCCCACTGCTCCGATGTGAACCCTGCCTTGTCATAGCCCAAGTTCACACAGGAGCGGTATTGGAAGCCTCCCTGCAGAATCCCCCCAGCTTTCTTTCCTCTCCTTGCAGCGATGATAGTTCAGGCTTGATGGCATTTGATTGGTCAGCAGCAGACCAATCAGATGCCCTCTAGCGAGAACTGTCATCACTGCAAGGAGAGGAAAGATTTCAAATCCCCACCGCTTTCTCTCCTCTCCTACCACTGACACCCAGCCTGGGATCTATGCAGGGAGGTTTCCCGCACCGCTCCTGTGTGAACTCGGCCTATGACAAGGCTGGGTTTACACAGGAGCAGTGAGAAAACCGCATGCAATTTGGACAGGAATCACATGCTATTCTTTGCGGTGAAAATTGCATCCATTAACGCAAATCGCACCACAAAGTATCGATACTCGGTATCAGTGAGTACTTGACCGAAAGTATCGTTACTCGTACTCGCCGATAAAAAAAACAGTATTAGTGCGTCCCTAATTTCAACAGTTTGCACAAAAAAAGTAAACAGCAATCCGCTGTCTTTACCGCTGTTATCATACAACACACCAGCAACTGCTGTTGTGAATAGGCCCCAAAACACATTGGGTTAGAGCAGAACTACAGTCTGCAGTCACACTTGCCCTCCAGAGATGCAAGCTCCTTTTCCAACACTTTGATATTTGCCGGCCATATTGACCGACTGGCCCAGGATCAAGTAACTCTTGCGCATTACAGCTCAGTTTGGTAGGAGGCAGGTAAGAAGCAATGTGAATGTACTTTATATATATATATATATATATATATATATATATATATATACACATATACACACACACACACACACACATACATACCTGAAATAAATACATTTATTGCAGAAGGGATACCACACGCCCTTCTGCACTACAGAAAGAATTACTTAGTACAATCTACTGTATTTATAAAGTATATCTCTCCAATTACTGCTGCTGAGAAATGCCTAAATGACAATATGTCACTAAAGCATTTTATACATAATAAACCTGGATTTTAGGCTTTAAGGTATCATCACTTGTAGTCCTCAAGCACACTGGACATTTTTCTAATCTCTCCTAGATGCCTTTCCACCTGGTGGCAGCGTTTTGGCTGAAAAAACGTGTGTAACATGTTTAGCCGCATCAAGCGCTTGGGTGTTAATTCATTTCATTGGCCAGAATAATCATTATTTTATTATTAACATTTACACGCATCAACGGTTTCTTCGGTAAAATGCCGCAGCTCCTCTTCTCTTTCTTCTGGCTGCGTTTTTTTTCCTCTAAATGCATATGTGTACATGGACACATAGGCTGACATGCAGGGGAGTGTAGAGGCAGAAAAAAAAAACGTGACACCCTTAACAGCCATGTTAAAAAACGTCCAGTGTACACCAGTGGTGCATTTATGTTTTGTGCTGCCCTAGGCAACACACAAATCGCCGCCCCCAGTGTACCCCCACTGTCTCTAGTGCACCAACGTTTGATGGGTGGAACTTAGTGGTCGGCCACATCTTTCTGTGAAGGTGTCAGTTAGCGGCCTGACAGGCGAGGTGGTGTCAGTCAGCGGCACGAGCGGCGTGAAGGTGTCAGTATACATGGTGTACACAGCAGTAGGATGGAGATCACTCACCAGCCTGGTGGAAGGGCGGAGACCAAGGGGGGGAGCCATGTACTGCCATTATGTATCCTCCTCACAGCCGAATTTCCCTTCCCTCTGTGTGACAGAGATCCCTGCCTCCACTGGACACTGCCGTCCTCCGGGTCCATCACTCAGCCCTGGCTCCCCACCGCCATCCACTGCGGAGAGCTCTGACCCTCAGAGCAGCCTACAGCCTGGCCGGGCGCACTGGATGCTGGGAGTTGTAGTCCTTCCCCCGCACACCCTGCCAGGATTGTAGTTTGCTCTCCTGTGGAGGCGGCAGGTCGGAGGCGGGGGAAAGACTACAACTCCCAGTATGCAGTGCGCCCGGCCAGGCTGTAGGCTGCTCTGAGGGTCGGAGCTCCCGGAGCTCTCTACAGTGGATGGCGGTGAGAAGCCAGGACTGAGAGATGATCCTGGAGGACGGCAGTGTCCAGGGGAGGCCTGATACTCCCACTCCTCACTGGATTCCTCTGCTGTAGTGACATCACTTGCCGAGGTGCAGCGCCGCCCCCTGAAAAGTGCCGCCCTAGGCAAGTGCCTTGTTTGCCTTGCGGCAAATACGCCCATGGTGTACCTCTGTGCAAGGATGACACGCAAATTTGTGAACTGTTCCATATAAAAAAAACAAACAAACATCCAGTGTGCATGAAGGCTAGTTTGTCCAAGCTGGCCCAAACAAACCACTTCCATATCCAAGTTATTCTGGTGCTGTATTTATTACAGGTACTTATATAATGCAATGTACGCAGCACTTTAAACATATATATATATATATATATATATATATATATATATATATATTGTACATTTACATCAGTCCCTAACCCTCAGTGCTGGTTCACACTGATGCGGTACGGGAAATGCAGCGAATCTTGTGCATTTCCCGCACCACATTGCCATCGCAGGGCATCCAATGTTAAATTAACCACACCATGAAACAGATTGCAAAATGCAGTGTAATTACCAGAATTCGCATTGCATGGGTGTGAACATTCATGTGATGCAAATTGGGTGCAGGAAAAATAATGTACGGCTCAAATCACACCGCCTAGACATCGCATGTGAGTTGCACAGGAATGTGGTAAGTTTCCTGTGCGAATCCCATGCAATGTGCCGCACTGCATTAGTGCGAATCAGGGCTCAAGGAGTGTCATTTAATGTCCCTAACTCACATTTATACATACACATACTGGGGCCAATTAACCTACCAGCATGTCTTTGGAGTGCGGGAGGAAACTGGAGTACCCGGAGGAAACCCACGCAGGCACAGGGAGAACATGAAAACTCCATGAAGTTGTGTATCTGTAGCTGTGTATCATTCTGATTAGCCAAGGTGGAGAGAGGGCTGATGACATCATAATTTTCACCTTGGCCAATCAGAGGATGCCTTGTGTTCATTGATAAATAATACAAGAGGTCTTCCGAATGGCTCAGAAGGGCTCAACCTGAGTTTTGTTCCAGCAGCAGACAGGAAGAATCCCATGATGCTGTCGTAACACATCGCTGCATACTGTATGTAGATGATGCTGTATGATATATTGCTGACAACACTAGAACAGGGGCGGACTGACAATTGATGGGGCCCCCGGGCAATAGGGGATCATGGGGCCCCTGTGTCCTTGCCCGAACTCAAAAAAGCCTATGAAAAAGGTACCAGGGGCATCTCATGGGGCCCCCTACTGACCCCGGGCCCTCGGGCAGTGCCCGAGTTTCCAAATGGTCAGTCCACCTCTGCACTAGAATATTTTTTTCTGTTTGTTATGCTGGTTAACCCCAGATACATCAGTATATATAAATCTTACCCGCTGTCTGCATTCTGCACTGCAAAGGGGGATCCTACTTTTTCTGCCTCAGCTGCTGCAAAGGGAGATCCTTGCCTCTGCTACTGCAAAGGGGGAGTCCCACTTTCCATGCCTTAGCCACTGGAAAGGGGGATCCCTGCCTCAGCCACTGCAAAGGGGGAGCCCCACTTACCATGCCTCAGCCACTGCAAAGGGTGAGTCCCACTTTCTGTGCCTCAGCCTGTTGCAAAGGAGGATCCCTGCCCCAGCCACTGCAAAGTGGGAGCCCCACTTCCCATGCCCCAGCCACTGCAAAGGGGGAGCCCCGCTTTCCATGCCCCAGCCACTGCAAAGGGGGAGCCCCGCTTTCCATGCCCCAGCCACTGCAAAGGGGGAGCCCCGCTTTCCATGCCCCAGCCACTGCAAAGGGGGAGCCCCGCTTTCCATGCCCCAGCCACTGCAAAGGGGGAGCCCCGCTTTCCATGCCCAGCCACTGCAAAGGGGGAGCCCCGCTTTCCATGCCCCAGCCACTGCAAAGGGGGAGCCCCGCTTTCCATGCCCCAGCCACTGCAAAGGGGGAGCTCCGCTTTCCATGCCCCAGCCACTGCAAAGGGGGAGCTCCGCTTTCCATGCCCCAGCCACTGCAAAGGGGGAGCTCCGCTTTCCATGCCCCAGCCACTGCAAAGGGGGAGCTCCGCTTTCCATGCCCCAGCCACTGCAAAGGGGGAGCTCCGCTTTCCATGCCCCAGCCACTGCAAAGGGGGAGCTCCGCTTTCCATGCCCCAGCCACTGCAAAGGGGGAGCTCCACTTTCCATGCCCCAGCCACTGCAAAGGGGGAGCTTCACTTTCCATGCCCCAGCAAAGGGGGAGCTCCACTTTCCATGCCCCAGCCACTGCAAAGGGGGAGCTCCACTTTCCATGCCCCAGCCACTGCAAAGGGGGAGCTTCACTTTCCATGCCCCAGCAAAGGGGGAGCTCCACTTTCCATGCCCCAGCCACTGCAAAGGAGGGTCCCTGCCTGAGCTGCTACAAAGGGGGGGGGGGGGGGGAGACCTGCTTTCTGTGTCTTAACCATTACAAAAAGGGGAGCTCCACTTTCCATGCCCCAGCCACTGCAAAGGGGGAGCTCCACTTTCCATGCCCCAGCCACTGCAAAGGGGGAGCTCCACTTTCCATGCCCCAGCCACTGCAAAGGGGGAGCTCCACTTTCCATGCCCCAGCCACTGCAAAGGGGGAGCTCCACTTTCCATGCCCCAGCCACTGCAAAGGAGGGTCCCTGCCTGAGCTGCTACAAAGGGGGGGAAGACCTGCTTTCTGTGTCTTAACCATTACAAAAAGGGGAGTCCCACTTTCCATGCCTCAGCCACTGCAAAGGGGGATCCCTGCCTCAAGCACTGCAAAGGGGGAACCCTGCTTTCTGTACCTCATCCAAAGACCTACACAGGTAGCCCCCTGCTTTCCTTGCCTCCACCACCACAAACAGGTCACACCCACTTTCCTTGCCACAAGTCACTACAAAGGGCTCCCCACATAACCTGTCTTTTTAATCAAAATAAGAGCGATTTCAGGAATCCTGCCTTTCATAAATCAACTGCACCAAGCAGAGTGATCATTTTTTAATCAAAGATCTGAATGCGATTAAACAAACCTTCCTGTGCTGTCAAAGTATCATTTTCAAATAAAAGATCATCTGGACAATTAAATCTGCAACTGGTTATCCTAACACAACGACCTGACCCTTCACCATCATACACCAAGTTCAGATTGCTTACAAACCCTCCCCTGCAGAGAAGCACAATGATACAACATGTCATCAGCATACAATATAGAGTGGATTCAATACAGATCCCAGAACACAGAATATGAGCAATCAGCACAGAGTGATCCCTCATCAGTCAGGATACATGATGGGGGTCACTGCTCTGCTACACTTACTGTGGAGAGGGATCCTCAGCTCCTGACAATGTGATCAGCCAGCACACAACATGCTCCCTTCCCAGTAATGCACTGGGCTATGTGATGTCAGGGAGGGGGAGGGGACAAGCCTGCAATCAGACTGAAGTGACATTTTAATGTATTATCATTGCCATCAGAGGGGATGGCTTGTGTTTCCCTCCGCTGCTGTATTTTCACAACACTCTGCCGTGCAGGAACCTGCCCTGTTTTCCTGTTTTGTATTGTTTAGATAAATAAATGTTGTTTAGCAACATTGTAACTTGTGGATGAAAGGTGCGTTTCATGATTTGTCCACTGGAGGGCGGCAAAGACTCCGCAGTGGAAACAGTAAATGAAATCAAGTTCAAAGTCCAGCCAAAACTTTTCTTTTAGTTTTCGGTAATCTGGAGATGGTTTAAAACTTCAGGGAAAAAATTGCCATCCTATTTAGGCTCCATGCACACTAGCTTTTTTTTTTTTAAAGCTAAAAAAAACGCTGGAAAAAAACTATACGTTAAAAAACGCTGGTAAGAGTGTTTTTTAGTAGCGTTTAGGAGTGTTAGCATTTTATTAGCGTTTTAACAGTACATGTAGAAAGGAAAAGAAAAAAGCATTTAGGATCATTTAGCATTTTTTTCTGCTAGAAAAATGCTTAAAAAAACGACAAAACCAATTTATTTTTTTGCTCCCTGACGCTGAAGGTCAAAAAATGCTAACAGCCTAAAGTAGAGTGCATGGACACATAGGATAACATGATTTACCTTCTAGGAGCAGAAAAAAAAATGATAGCAGCTTCTAGGAGCTTAAAAATGCTAGTGAGCATTGAGCCATAACCAGAATATGCTTTTGTACCAGAGATGAGCTTACCACCCTGCAATGCAGATTACTTTTCAGAGGGTGGTATAACAGCAGCTGACATGTTCAGGAGTTGCTACTGTCACCTCCTCATGTTTTTTCTACCTTTTTTTTATTTGCTGAATGGCAATTTACATTAGGGGACTGCACTGCAACTCTGAGCCAAGCATTTGGGTTTTGGTTGCAGTACAGCCCCATTCATCTCAATGAGTGAGATTGACAGGCGGTGCGGTTACAAATGCAGTGGCTACAAAGTGAAGCATCACATATGTGATATGTGTACAGGTCTGTCAGGTTGTAATGTGATGGGGGGCGATAAAATTGCTGCCGGCCATCCAGGGGCGGACTGACCATTCGAGCACTCGGGCACTGCCTGAGGGCCCGGGGTCAGTAGGGGGCCCCATGAAATGCCCCTGGTACCTTTTTATAGGCTTTTTTGAGTGTGGGCAAGGACATAGGGGCCCCATGATCCCCTATTGCCGGGGGGCCCATGAGTTGTCAGTCCGCCCCTACGGCCATCTATATGAAAGACCTCAAAGGGATGGGAAATACAGCATGTTAGTGTTGTCAATTGAATAGGAGGTGGGGGAAAATCTTCCAGTGGGGACACCTGTGTCAGCTGACTAAGGTCTGTTTCACACAGGCTTCAGCTTATATAAAAGCAGTGAGAAGAGCAAGCTTTGAAAAAGGCATTTGCAGAGCTTTCAGAAAGTTTTATTGAAGCGTTTAAAGTACCATTCAGTTCCAGTTTGTATATGCTGAACACAGATCCTAATAGGGATCTGATTGCTACTTTAAATGAGCTGTTAGCAGGCTTCAGAACTTCAAGCTTGTTGAAAGCCTGCTAGCAGCTTTCTTAAAGTGGCAATCAGCACCCCCATTAGGATCTGTGTTCAGCATTTACAAACAGAATGGTACTTTAAAGCTTGCTGAAAGCTCTCCAAATGTTGTCACATCTTGCTGTTCACACTGCTCTTATACAAGCTGAAGCCCATGTGAAACAGGCCTAATAATGGCCATACATCCTTCGATAAATGATCAATTTATTATCTCTTCCAATAGGAATAATCGATCTATAGTTTACAACTGAATGAATCACTGTGCCACAGGTGGGGAAGTGGATTTTGATCGAATACTAAGATATTATCATAACTTACAATTGTAAATTGTCGATCCCATCTCTGTTTCCACCAGGGGCGGACTGACAACTCATGGGGCCCCTGGGCAATAGGGGATCATGGGGCCCCTGTGTCAACTCAAAAAAGTCTATGAAAAAGGTACCAGGGGCATCTCATGGGGCCCCCTACTGACCCTGGGCCCTTGGGCAGTGCCCGAGTTTCCAAATGGTCAGTCCGCCCCTGGTTTCCACCATATAATCTCATAATCTGATCAACTGAAGTCGATCACATTCATGAACAAGTATCTCGGTGTTGTCAATTTATACAAGATGATTGATCATTTTCTACCCTGGCTGATCTACTCAGTTGCATCGAATGTGTTCTAAATTGAGTCTAATTGGAAGGGAAGTTATGGCCCCTTTCACACAGGGTGAACCCGTCAGTGGATCCACTTGCTCAGCGGGGGATCTCTCCACTGATCCAAGAAGATGACATGTCTGTGTCCGCTCCAATGTTGCAGAGAGAACACAGACACAGCCCAGTGTCATCTATGGGCAGTCAGATAGAAACAGACCACAAGACCACCATACATAGGCCATCATCCCCAACTGGGAGCAACCACGAAAACAGGTCGGTGGGTATTGTGGAATGACCTTGGGTATTCGAGCTGGTGTGTAGTGCCAGCGGTAGACAACTTTGTAGGCATTTTCCAATATGGAAACATTTCTAGACTATCTGGAGGCCGCTTGAACCATCGTCAGCCAGTTATCAGGTGACAAGGTCACGGACAGTTCACGTTCCCAATGTTGTTGAAAAGAGCTTATAGGCAGCTTCTTAGAGGAAACAATAGAAGAGAGATTACACCTGTCGAATGTGGACGCAACCTACAGATGTTTTCGAAAGTTGATAGGAGATATGGGGCTGAATGAGACCTAATCAAATTGTGGACAAAGTGGCGAAGTTGAAGGTAGCAGAAGTGTTCCTGTAAAGGTATTTCATGAGAGGAGTGAAGCATGCACGGTTTGCTGTGATGTATTAGCATCATGGCTGCATAAACGTTTATGGGCATATAGTCCAGAAGTGATTTTCCTTCCCCTTTTGGGTTTGTTTGATGTCAAGTTACCATCGATTTCTCCCCCACACCACCTCATCAGTATTGGTGAACAGACAGTCCTTTGGTCTGCCACTGGTATGGTTGGACGGGGCCCCTCCAGGAGGCGTTTGGGCAGCAACTGTCTTCTCCTGCTTTCCTTCCCTGTTCCTTCTGTCCAATTTCGCTGTCAGAGGCACATTAAATTTTTGGCTGCATTCGTGGAAATCAAGGTCTTTTAACCTTTTGGCGGTTCTTCCTACTCTTCTTGCCCCTATATGGGGCTATACGTCATGCCTCTTTGAGCACTTCTGAAGAAGAGATTGTGATTGGTCTCGAAACACGTCAAGTGCAACTCATGCATGACTTTTCAGTACATCCTCACTGGAATATCAGTTTTTGACGATACCGCCATACCTTGTATTGTAAATCATATGTCTTTTTAAGATTGCAAAAATAAAAATCGTTTGCTTTTTAAACTGTTGAATTGTTAGCTTACTATCTGATAAACCTTTGCCTTTAAAGTCCCAATAACAAGAGGACCTCTCCACTGTCCCATCCATTCTTTAGTTATTCTGCATTGCTTGCTACAAAACTTGGCACTCAGAGAATGGGGTAGGGTTATAGGGGAGGCATCTGGGAGCATTTCCTCAAAAGCTTTATCAGTGTCCAGTCACCTGAAGGTATGAGCCTATAACCCAGGGTGTATGAATCCATTGCCTGTTCCTGCACTGTCCTCTAAGACAGCGTTTCTCAGCCGGGGTGCCATGAAGAGTCCTCAGGGGTGCTGACACAAAAGGAATACAAAACTGCCCCAACTAAAGCAGGCAGTTACATTAATGTGGTTATAAAGGTTCAGATTTTTTCTTTTAAATAACAAGCATGTCATATTTACCTGCTCTGTGCAATGGTTTTCCTCTTGTCCCCTGCAGGCGCTTCAGGTCCCTTCTCCCTGCTGAGTGTCCTAACTCCCCAGAGCAAGCTGCTTACTGTGTGCTCATTCCACCTCTGTGTGTCTCTGATACACACAAAGCGTGATTCGGCCCCGCCCTCTGCTGCCTCCTCACTGGCTGTGATTAACAGCAGCAGGAGCCAATGGCTGTGTCTCAGCCAATGAGGAGGTAGAGACCCAGGGGAGCTTCTGCTCTCACAGGATCACCATCAGGCTCAGGTAAGTATAAGATGAAGGCTGAGGGGGGCGCTGCACACTTTTTACCTTCATACATGGAATTTATGAAGGTAAAAAACCTTCAGCCTTTAGAGCCACTTCAAACTTTTTTCACTGCCGGCACAACAGTATCGGCTTGGTGCTTTTTCAAACTGGCAAGAAAGCTGCACATGGATTGTGTGCTGTGTGGGCCACCCTCCTGCATCCTACCAAAAGATGATGTCATCGGTTGCTAAGCACAAGTCGGCACCCACACAGCTTTGTGGATTGCCAACAGCAGAGGAAAAGAGAGCTGGGAGGAGATGCAGGCTGTACTTTTCCTTCTGTCTGTACCAGGGGCGGACTGACAACACATGGGGCCCCCGGGCAATAGGGGATCATGGGGCCCCTGTGTCTTTGCCCAAACTCAAAAAGCCTATGAAAAAGGTATCAGGGGCATCTCATGGGGCCCCCTACTGACCCCGGGCCCTCAATAGGGGATCATGGGACCCCTGTGTCCTTGCCCAAACTCAAAAAAGCCTATGAAAAAGGTACCAGGGGCATCTCATGGGGCCCCCTACTGACCCAGGGCCCTCGGGCAGTGCCCGAGTTTCCAAATGGTCAGTCCGCCCCTGGTCTGTACACAACAATCAGCACAGAATATTCTCAGACCAGACCATACAGGCTTTGATTACCACCCTATCTCCTCCCCAGATTGCTCCTGTCTCAGCAGCAGAAATTCTGGGTAGGGGGTAATCAAACTCTGTACAGTCCGATCTGAGAGCACTCTGTGTCATCTCCTGACATCTCCTCTATCTATACAGATAGGAGGGAGAGGAGCAGGGGGGAGAGCACAACCCACACCTCCTCCTGGCTCTCTCCTCCTCTCTGCTGCTGTCACTACTCATGTAGCCAGCTCTCACCTGTATGTTTTGGGTGGCAGCAGGGTAAATTGTACTGGGGACACAGAAGGGTAACAAACAAATATGCTTGGGATGAGAGCTAATCCCTACCTGACCTCTCCAGCCTCCCTCACATTGCTAATGGCCAGTAGAGCAGCCTATCATAGTGATGGGCCAGTATTATTGTGTGGATCCTGTCTTTTGCCATCATCAACTAGATCTTCTCCCGCCTTGCATTTGAGAGATCCTGCACTGGATCTCACAGCTGATCTCGTTAGCAGTCCTCAAAGTGAAGTCAGAGCTCCAAGTACATTCCTTATCAACAGTTTCTGTATGACTCTGGTCTGTTTCTGCCAACCTTCCTCACTTTGTGTGTTTGTACCTGGAACTAGTACTTGCCTGCTTTGGTACTAAAAATCAGATGGAAAGCAGACCAGCATCGTGTGAAGTCCTCAAAACATTTGTAGCACTACCCCCTTAGGAGTTGCTGAGTTTTGGGCTGATCTGGGCTGACCTCCCTCTCTCCCTCCCTCACAATCATTATTTCTTTGCTAGAAAGTTACTTACAACCCCAAACAACCTCCCCGGGTGTTCTAATTTTTTACGCAGTATTTGCACAGAGTTTTTTTTAAAAGCAAATTTTTTGGAAAGAAATTCACTTTAATGAATTTTAAGTGCACAAAAACACAATCTAATGCCCATTTCAATAAGGTATAAAAGATGATGTTACGACAAGCAAATTGATACCTAACATGTCACGCTTTAAAATTATCTAGAAATCTCTATTTGCTGATGCTTTAAAGGCCTTTACAGGCTACCAGTTTAGAGTTACACAGGTCTGATGCTAGCATTATAGCTCTCACTCTGATGTTCGCCATGATCCCTCACATGTGTGATGCGATCACCATTTATGTATGTGTGCGGGATCGACGTGTGCATTCAGCTTTGCACATGAGTGCAGTGGGATGAGGGTGCTCTAATATTTTTTATTTTATTTTGTTTGAATTTTTTTTACACTGTCTCTTTAAACATTTTTTTTGTATCACTTTTATTGCTGTCACAAGGAATGTAAACATCCCCTGATACTAACAATCAACAGTGACAGGTCCTCTTTACTGAGACATGTTGTGGGGATGCTTTTCTTCGGCAGGGACAGGGAAACTGGTCAGAGTTCACGGGAAGATGGATGGAGCCAAATACAGGGCAATCTTAGAAGAAAACCTGTTAGAGTCTGCAAAAGACTTGAGACTGGGGCGGAGGTTGACCTTCCAGCAGAACAACGACCCAAAACATACAGCCAGAGCTGC